CCCCCCCTTGCTGGGGAGGGCAGAAGGGGGACCTGGAATTGTTCAGGGGCCTCTGGTCAGCCTTCAAGTGGGTATCAGCAGCCCGGAGCTGACCCACAGCCAGTGAGTGAGTGAGATAAGCGCCACTGTCAACCTGCATGATTGAGAGGAGCAGAGCCCAGCAAACAGGCTTCCTTCTATTTGACTGCAGTATGCTTCTGAGCTATTTGACTGGTGAGAAGGGGGAAGGAGGAGAGAGGAGATGGAGAGTGGGTGGTTTGAATGGATGGGGAGTCTGCAAATGACAAGGCTTCATTCCTTTTCAGGGTATTATACTTTTTCAGGGTTTCCTTTTTCATGGCTGAGTAGTATTCCACTGCATATTCACTATGCGTCATGACAGAACACAAACAGGTATGTTCTGAACAAGGCATCACTAGGTGATTTTATTGCTGCACAAATGTCACAGAGTGTGATGTACACGCTCGATGGTGGACACTGTGCCTCCTGCAGCCACTGTCTATACTCAGCCTCCTGTTAACCAGATGCTATGAAGCAACACATGACCACCTCCCATCTTCTTGATCCAGTGTTCCCTCGATGGACATTTTGTGACTCCTGCAAATAATGCTCCAAAATGGGAAAAGGGGATCAATTGTAACACGAGGGCTGGAAAGTAGGCGTCATTGCATTGTAGGGGTGATTGCATTGTAGCGTATACAGATGTTGAAATACGCTGTTAAGTACCTGAAACACATCATGACATAAAACAGTGTTAGTGCAGTTTAAAAAGGAAATGAAAAGACAGGACCAGGAGTGTGGAAAATCAGCCCATCTGCCCGAGCACCCCCAACCCGGTCCCCTCCTGGGGGCCTGCCTGTCAGTGGGTTCTCATTCCTCAGGCTGTTCCAGGTATCGCATTTAATTCTGGTGCTTGAATACAGTTTAGGGGGACACCACCCATTCTTGAACTCCAGAGTCGGGGTCCAGCCAGAGTGGGTGGGGGGCGGGCGGCAGGGACATGCGAGTCATGCTGGCTTTGCGCGTCACCGACTTCCCAAGTAGAGCGTGCGTTTACAAACCGCCTTCCTCCTCCTCGCTGAGTCCTGGGGTGTGCTTTATTCAGCTGCTTCCCCTCAATTCGGACCTCTGTGCTGCCTTCCTCGGCATCTCCGGTATAAGTGGGTGAGGGGGCTGGACTGGGCCGCGTGGCTAGAGCGAAGCCCGCTGGCCGGCGCTGGCCGGAGGAGGGGGCACGGCCTCCCGCCACCACTTCAGTTCGCAGAGCCTTGCTTGGAAGGCCATGCCGCCTGGTCGGCTTCCCCCCGCCCCCCGATAGTGGAGGCCCCCATAGCAGCGGCTCTTCATAAACAATGTCCAGCCCCATGGGGCTGGAGCACAGTAGCCTTAGTCAGTCCCGATCACGTTCTGCCTGGAGAGCTCAGACCCCACATGGACACACTTAATTCACGAGTCAGACTCAGCACCGTGGTCCCCAGTCTCGGGGCAGCAAGCGGCCTGGGGGGCGGCCGGGTCCGTGCCCCTGTGCGGCGGGTCGAGAGTCACCTACTTTCCCAGGAGGGTGAGTGGCCTCCCTGGTACAGGCTGCAGGGAAGGAATTTCAGCTTCCTTGTGGCCCAGGACACAGCCCCGCTTCTCCGCTGCAGGGCACGATTCCTCCTGCTCCAGGTTAAACATACCAGGCTGTGGACCTGGCTCAGAGAAGCTCGGGCCTCAGCCAGCACAACAAGTTGCTGGAATATACTCAAGGAATAAAGGCGCCGCTCTCTTACCTGCTTGGGGGGCGGGGGGGGGGGGGGGCTTGTCTCCTCAGGCTGGTTCCAGAAGAATTTTTGTGGTTCAAAAACTGTTTCCCAAAGCCAGTGCACCTGTAGGCCCAGGTGTGGGTGCAGGTGGCGAGGCGTGTTAGCGTTAGTTTTTGCGTGGGTCTTTCTGAGGCGGTAAAGCCGGGGTGAGTCCTGCCAGCCCCGTGTGCACAGCCTGGCCTCTTCCCAGGCCTCCCCTGGAAGCTGTGGCCTCAGGGTCTCAGGTGTGACTGAGTGCACGCACCTGTAGGGTCAGGAGCTGCAGGTAAGGTTGCCCACCTGTGCAGCAGCTGTCGATTCTATCCTATTTTATTTATACCTATAGCTAGGAGTGCCGTCTGTGGAGCAGATATTTCTTGCGTTTACTGCTTTTTATTTACTTGGATGGGCTGGTTTGTTTGTGTACGCCTGTCTATAAAGACACGCTGTGCAGGCTGGCATCCTGGTCACGCTGGCACGGACGGCTGCAGCTCCGGTGACTTCAGGTCCCTTGGGGTGCTGCTCCCCACCACACACCCGACACTTAGCGGTGTAGTAATGCCGTGTGACTCAAGTTAACACCTTTAAAGTTGTTCCACTGACCAATCAATAACCAGTCAGTGGAAGAAAAGGCCCCCGGTCCGGACGCAGGACGCAAGCCCATAGGTAGGCATTGACCTTCAGTCTGGGGGGAGCGTGGGGTCTCCCCGGGAGGCCCCTGGCCTCCTCTCGCCCCTCCTCCCCCCAGGTAGCCAGGTGCCACAGAGGTGCAGGGCACAGGGCCAAAGCGGGTGTGACATAGCTTTGGGGTGTCCTGTGGCTGGTGGCAGGACCCCCAACGAGCACCCCCCCAGCCAGGAGCTGGGCGCGCCCCCTGGGGTCCCAGAAGCCCTTGGGCTGGCGCGGGGCTGGAAACCGCCCTGCTGTGGCACACGTCTTCCTCTCCTGCACTTCAGAAAGCTGATTTCTCCTCCCTCAAAGGCACGTGTGCCCCAGGGGAGCCGAGAGCCCTCTGATGATTGCCTTTTCTCCTTTGCAGCAACTTCAGGGCCCCTTCAGAAGGTAGTGGGTGGATGCAGTGCGGAGGGATTTCTGTGGGTCAGTGCGGAAAGGTCGCGACCCGCAGGTATCACACCTGCTGCTGCCGGGCCAGGAGCGCCAGGGCAACTCCTTCCACCTGTGTGTGTGTGTGTGTGTGTTGGGGGGGGGGTTGGCATCCCTCCACCCGGGACAGAGAAACCCTGCCAGGGTTTCCAGCAAAAGCAGCAGAGGCCGAGAAGCGCCTTGCTCATTCAGCTCTCGTGGCTGTCTCTGGGTGATGTGCACAGTTTGGGGGTTCGGGGCAGCCAGTGGCCTCTGGGTACCGGAGGCAGGTACTGACTCGGGGGCCTCGTCTCCAGCTTCCCCCCGGGGGACAGGCCGCTGCCCATCAGGAGCCCGGCAGGAGCCGAGCTCCGAGTCGCCCTCATCACCGTGCAGACGATGCCGATGTATGCACGGTCACAGCCTCATGGCATCCGATCTGGGGCCCTGCTCCCAGCCAGGAGTGATTTTCCTTTGTCCTCTGCAAACCTCGGGCCCCTCTGGAAAGCGGCCGCTGGTCCCCTGAGCAACACCAATTATGGGTGGATCAGAAGGAGGGATTCATTGTGCCAAAGAGGGCCTGTAGGCAGAAAACTGTGTTGGGGGGCACACGGGAGACGAGGCAGAGACTGTAGAGTGCAAGCTGGAGATGCTGTTCTGAGTCATCTCTGACTCAGGCGTTCATGTGCTCACCCCACAGGGCCCATGGGGAGCCCCGGGATGCGGCGCTCACTCGGGCGCAGCCAGGGACCCCTTTCCAGGGCAGCCAGTCCGCTCATCTGCTAACGGTTAAGTCTCAGCGCTATGAGGCCGTCCGCAGCCACCGCAGCATGAGTTCGATCCCCGGCCAGGGAGCTGACCCACAGGGTGCAGCAGACCCCTCCTGACCCGCCCGCTGCTCCCCTCAGCAGTGTATTTCAGTGGATCTGCCTGTTCTGCTCCCCACTCTGTCTCTGGGGAGTCCTCTCACGCCCCTCATCGCTGGCCTGCACCCCACTTCTTGTATGCATAAATAAATCTTTAAAGAAACAGCAAGCATCCTTAAGGAATGCTGCCTGTCGCAAAGGAACAGCAGTGACCTGCTCCTTGGGGGGACACAAGATGCAAACCCAGGCGCGTCTCGTCCCAGTGAGGGCCCTTTGGGGGCGCTCATGCCAGGGCTCTGTATTGGTCGGCGCAAGTTTGTCCTACGATGGTCTTTGTCGCTCAGGGTCAAACCAGGAGTGTAACTTCCTGCAAGCAAGAGGGTCCAGGGCCCCTCCATCCAGCAGGTGGTGTCCAGCAGGTGTGGCAAAGGCCGAGGGAGCGGTCTGTGTACTGGGACAGCACCTACAGGGTGTCCGGGGCTTCCCCTCTTTCTACGAAACCAAACGTCCTGTTTTCAACTTGGCATCTGGCGAAATATTGCAGCAGATGCAGAGGGAGAGTGGACTGGGCTCCCACGGGCCTGCTGGGTCATTTTGGTGTGATTTGATGAACGGGTTTGCAAGTGGAGTTTTCTTGTATCAGGAGGGGAAATATGGAAATGTCAAGGGAGTGGTGGGAAAAGCCCCGTCTCCCCTAGGTCAGGGACAGGCAGGCTCCGGGACCACATCGGCCCCCATTGTCCTTGTCAATAAAGTTTTATCGGCACAGGGCCACGCCCATGCGTGCGTGGCTCAGGCAGCAGAGAGCAGGTGCCACGGCAGCCACGTGGCCCACAAGCCCGCCCTGCTGTGACCTCTAAAACCACGTCACACAGCTGGGCAGACCCTGGTGGGGAGGGGGTCACGACTGCGTGAGCTGAATCTGTTTGGTTTGTGTCCTGGCAGATGAGCTGCTCCGTCTGCCCTGCGCTCCGCCCTGTGGAACTTGGAGTCCCCAGGCGCTAGGGGCTGGGGTGAGCGGGTGCACGGGCTGCCTTGAACCAAAGAGGGGACCTGTGTGCAGCATCATAGATGGCAGGGATGGCAGCAAGCGGGGGGGTGGGGGGGGCAGGCAGGGACCCCGGATCTCGGACCTGGAGACAGCACCTCCTAGCTCGGGCCACTCAGGACACGCCGAGGGTCTCCTGCTCCGTGTCACTCACTATGTGCAGTGGGTGCATTGGGGCCTGGCCCCCCTGGGGTAACCACTGTCTCTTCTGTGTTCCAGGAATAGAACTGTGTCCCCCGGGAAAACGGTTCATGATCACGATGGTGGCGAGCTTCGTGGCCATGGCGGGCCAATTCCTCATGCCTGGGCTGGCCGCCCTGTGCCGAGACTGGCAGGTGCTGCAGGCCCTCATCATCTGCCCCTTCCTGCTCATGCTGCTCTATTGGTCGTGAGTATCCGCCGCCCCCCACCCTGGCCCCCCAGCCCGCTGGCCATGAGACCCACCCCCGAGCCCACAGGGGTGTCCAGGGTTTCCCCTCTTTATACAAAACCAAACGTCCTATTTTCAACTTGGCATCTGGCGAAATACTGCAGCAGATGCAGAGGGAGAGTGGACTGGGCTCCCACGGGCCTGCTGGGTCATTTTGGTGTGATTTTGATGAACAGGTTTGCAAGGGGAGTTTTCTTGTATCGGGAGGGGAAATATGGAGATGTCAAGGGAGTGGTGGGGAAAAGTCCCGTCTCCCCTAGGTCAGGGACAGGCAGGCTCCAGGACCACATCGGCCCCCATTGTCCTTGTCAATAAAGTTTTATCGGCACAGGGCCACGCCCATGCGTGCGTGGCTCAGGCTGCAGAGAGCAGGCGCTGTGGCAGCCACGTGGCCCACAAGCCCACCCTGCCGTGACCCCTAAAACCACATACAATTTTTGGTTGTTGATCTGACTGGCCGACTTGAGAAGAAAAACAAGTAAACATCTGTCTAGGGCGTGTGACCTGGACCTCAAAGTTTTTTCCTAAGCACCCATGGGATTAGTGTTCAGCCGAGGTTGAAAACCACCACGCGTGGACCGATGTGGGGGTGGGGCGTGCGGGAGGAGTGGAATGAGTTTCCCGCCCTTTTGATAAACCACCCCTTTCTTGCCTGGCCGTCTCGTCCCCTCTCCGCCAGCTCCCATACTTCACCCACAAGTGGGAGGTTCCCTGGTGTAGACAGTCTACCCGGTTTCTAGTCTACAGTCACTGGTGACAAACAGCTTTTGCTTTTTCCTTCCTAAATGACCACAAATGG